AACCTAATATACGAAAACGCTTACATGCTGATATATAAGTTGGAAATATAATTTATAAAAAAATACATAATTATCTTTGCACCTAGCAATCCTGGACAGATGAAGTCCATATGTTTCTTGCTCTTAATTTCCATAACATGTTTTAGGTACACATCATGGTTTTACTCACTTGGACCCGGATTCGATCTCGATAATTTCAGGTTAGCAGTCTTGCTCTCTATCGATAGCCCCCCACCCGATCTCACCCCCCCCCCCCCCACCCCCGGCCTCTCTTATACATATGCCTAAGCACATACTTTTGTTTTGAAATAAATTAAAAATAAAAAAAAATGTAAAGGTGGTGACAGTCTTATATGTTGGGCACACCAACACCAACACTTACATATAACATTCTCATATGTTGGGCACCCCAAACACCAACACTTACATATAACAGTCTCATATGCTGGACACACCAACACACACATATAACAGTCTCATATGTTCAACACTTGCGACTTCCTTACCAACACATTTTAAGCACTAGATAATTATGTCGCCAACAGAGGGAGAAAAAACAATGACGTTAGGCTGATAAAGTTTATTATTTACTCATTCACCATGAAGTGATCGATCACGTTTTACATCTGTTCAATGGTGTTGTTTTTTTTTCAAATTTTTATTTTATTCATATCGTATGTTTGTGTTGTAAGTGTTCTTCCGTTTTAGAATCTTAAGAGATGTTTAATTCATTTTAATATACTTTTATTTTTACACTTAGTTACAAGCACTGTTTGGCAGAATTGATAGTGGGGCGTCTGTCAAGTATTTTTGTTGAAATCTAGAATCTTTCAGAAAATTACCTATCTGTTTATAAGATGTTCATCTTTTTTTTTTCCAAAGACACGAGTAAAGGAAAACTGCAATAGCCAACACAAAAAGTTAAATTTTGCCTTAGGCTTGATCTAACCAAAATGTATTACTTCCCCTATGTATTTCGGAAATTCAAAACAAGGAAAACAGCTTATCACAATTGATAATTAAAAATACATAAATAAATAATTAGTAAGATTTGCCAAACAAATATACTAACTGAATAACGTTTTATAGCTATATTTAATGCAAACTGAAATCATGTATACTTAAAATAATTTTTTATAACATATTGAATAGTTTAAAACATCTAAAATAAAATGTAATACTTTAGCTTTATTTTAAGAAAATTGTTTTATAACGGTAACTTGTAAAATTAATCACATCCGATGATTTACGTCTGTTACAAATATTTTGGCTCCCTCTATAAAGGGAAAATAAAAATAAAAATAATTACTTAATTAAAGTAATTTCCTCGGAATTAGAGATGCACCATGCACAAGAGCATTCAAACCTATTTGCCTTCTAATGTGTATTCTGCGTTTTAACACACCCCCAAGAAAAAGAAACCAAGCTGCACTTAAAGCACTATCATCCTCAGGACCCTATAAGCTACAATGAAATATACTACAGAATCGTTGCAGGACCCTACAAAGACCGCATAACTTATACCTACGCAGACACTCTAAAACACGGGTTCTTGAGGGTTTCCATTGCAGTAAAAATGCAACAAATATCTCTGTTTAATAATACTATTCAACGGCTTATAGCAGACATGTCGCCTGTAAATGTCAAAGGATACATTTTGAAGGAAATCAAGCTTTCACCAGTGTTTGCTTTTTAAGTTGATGAATCAACAGACGTGAGTTCGTGTTCGCTTTGCTTGTCTTTGTGAAATAAATTCATTCAGATGAGAGCAAAGAAGAGTTGCTATTATGTGAAGATAGCATTTAGAAAATAAATACGTTTTTTGAAACCAGATGATTAAAAAGGGTTAAAACGGCTCTAGGTTTTGTACTGTTGGTGCGCCATCTATGTTTCGGTCAAAATCGGGCTTTCAGAAAAAGAATTATCTCCCCAACCAAAGGGGAAACCATTGCATGATACGCCGGTATGCCATCGCCATCAAGACTCCATTGCTAGTAATAGTCGCAAATTATATTAAATCTGGAGCCCTTAAAGAACTGCGCAAAGACAATAATAAAAATGACGAGGTTCTGCTTTTCTACACTACAGTACGCTGGCTGTCAAACGAAATGTTGTGAATCGTGTGGTAGAATTGAAAACTGAAATCAAGTTGTTCTTGTAAGTGCAAAGGAAATAAGTCTTTTGACATACTTTGATAAACAACAAAGAGTGGTTGGAGAGAGAATCCTTCCAAGCAGATACATTCAAACATCAACATCAACTTAACCCGAAGCTTCAGGGAAAATGAACGAATATTATCTCTTTTCAAAGAAAAATAAATCTTGGAAATATTGAAATTTTAGATGAATCTGAGTGTAAAATAATAAAACATTTGAAAGAAGATTTCTGGGCATCTTGCATCTCTTGAAAACGAACTGCAGCGTTTTTTTTTTTTCTCACTGAGCTGAAAGAAGAAGAATCTGCATTTAAAAGTAACCCAGTCTCTGCTTCCCTCGATGTTACCAGCATTCCCGATGAATTACAACATGAGTTATTTTATTTGCGGAATGATTCAGCGTCAGATGAAAAATTACACACACAATTTTGTGTAGTATGCACCATTAATACCCAAAAGTGAAATTGATTGTCTTTCGAGTTTTAGTTCCTTGTGTGGCTGTCTTTGTGAGAATAGATTTTCAACACTACTCCAATTAAAAACAAAATCAAGAAATAAATTAAATGTTTAGTTAATAGCATGCGCTTTTACTAAACGTTTTTAAACAGTTATCAAGAATAATTGATATTGAATGTCTACTCGAAAGTTTTATTTTAGTGCTTATTAGGTTTCTTACTATTTTTTTTTAATTATATAGGGGGTCGCGGGTCACTTATTTTTTTTATAAAAGAAGGTCGCCACTCGAAAAAGTTTGGGAACTACTGCTCTAAAAGTTGACAGCTAACGCTTCACCATCACCAAGACAACTCTATTTCTTATTAGACGTTTTGTATTAGCCGTCCACCAGAACATTTTTGTCAACCATTGTAACCCATAGGTAAAACATAAATAAATCGGTATCGCTAGGTTTGTTGTGAGGCGATATGTAGTCATTTTATTGTAGGGAGCCACTTTATCATCTAGTGTGTACTAAGTCATTTTATGTGGAAAACACATGAATGTCATTAGTTAAGAGCTACCACCTATATAATAGTTGTTTTATTAAGCATGATCAAATATTTTTAAAATCTACAAATGGTAATTATTGTAAAATATTATTCTAAAATTACAGTTACATTCTTTGATTACTAATTATATAGTATTCTAGCACAGTTAGCTAAAATACTTTGTTTTGTATGTACTTATAAGAATAAAGGTTGTTTCGCATTTAAAGCTATTTCTTTATTTTAAATAAAAAATCAAATGCATACACCTAACATTAATGAATCAAATACCATAACATTGTAATAAAAAGTATGGCGGCTCTTTAAAACCTGGAAAATTTGGAAAATTTTGATTTTTGGCTCTTCAGTCCCAAAAGGTTGCCGACCCCTGTCATAGATGGAAGATTTTAATTAATAGCCTACATGTAACTAAACCATTGGACTTACAGTTGAGATCACACATTTTCTAATTAGCAACAGTTTTTTGTGTTCTTTAAAGATCATTTTTTTTAAAATAATTATAAGGTATGGGTTGGATCAATGAATTGCACACACACCTATTTACTGGTAATTGCAAAAATAATATTTAAATAGTTTTACCTGTTTCAAAAGCTATTATTCTGGCAGCAAGATACTTTGGTACGTCATTACGCTGTTCCCCAAATGTACCAACAGATCAGCTTTGGGTGGATTGGGAGGGGGGGGGGGGGTTCAACTTCATTCACCTCTGTCCGGTCACCTTAGGTCAATTATCCTACCCAGCGTATACATAGGTGTGTCCCGTTTTAGGTGGTGAAGTGTGGTTTTTAGATGATGGTTCTAAACATACATATACAATTTTACATATATACTGATTCAGAAATAGATTTAAGTAAGGAACAGTGGTATTATGACAGTAAAAAAATTTACAGAGGGGTCCGTGGGGGGTTGTAACTCCCCCCCCCCCCCCTAACCCCCCTTCCTCTGCCTACGCCAATGACTGAATGTCATGTTTGTTTTGTCAGTGTGTCGTGTTTAGAAAATAAGTTGAGTAGCATCCTAGTCACTCTAGACAAAATGTATTACTTCCCCTATGTATTAGGGGAAAACAAAATAAGGGATCCAACTTATAAAATATGATATCTAAAAATAAATAAATAAGTAATTAGTACAATTTGCCAAAACAAATATATTATTGTATGAAGTTAGTAGAAAAAATGTAATGCCAACTGAAGTAAAGTATAGTTTATATTTTTTTGATAAAAACATTTAATACAATGTTTTAAATCTGAAAAATATAAACTTTAGCACTATTTTAAAATGGATTATTTTATAAAGGTAATAAAGATATAATTAGCATTTTAATTGTTGTGTAAAGACAATTTTTTGGCTCCCTTTGAAAAGGGACAAATTAAAATTTAAAAAATTGGTATTTTTAGGATTATTGGGAGGCTGTAATTTGCTGTAATGTTATTGTAGGGAGACCCTTTATTTTACTTCTTTTGTATACACAATTTTATAAAACTCAAGCGAATTAATTCAGTGAACTTTCAAAATAAAACAAGAATTTAAAACAGGTTAAAAAAAAAACATTTTTTTATATAAATCACAATGTCCAACAGTAATATCGAGTTTTTCAACCTTTATCTTATATATCGTTTTCACTCAGAATAACCATTTACTTATTTAAAAAAAAAAGTTAAATGCTCTTTAAGTAAGAGCTAACTACAGGAAAATCCCTTTATTAAATCTATATCTCTTACAGAAGGGACAGAATTGTACAATGCAAGGGAAATAACTTAACAAAATAGCTCAAACAAATATTTTGCGGACAGAAAGAGAGAGAGAGAGAGAGAGAGAGAGAGTAGTGCGCACATGGGCTTTTATATATTAGGATTTTTATGCCCAATATTCGACGCATCCATTAATGAATTTCGTCCGGTTTTGTTACAAATGTTTACATCACATCCACTTTCAATTAATAATCCTGCAATCTTGTCATGGCCGTTTTGACAGGCCAGATTTAATGCATTCCATCCATTATAATTGACAGCATTAACTTTACAGCCGCTATTGATTAACAGATGTACAACTTTGTCATGTCCATTTGCGGCAGCAAATATTAAAGCGTTCCATCCATCTTTGTCGACAGCATTAACATTACTGCCGCTATTAATTAACAGCTGTACAACTTTGTCATGTCCATTTGCGGCAGCAAATATTAAAGCGTTCCATTCATCTTTGTCGACAACATTAACATTACTGCCTGCTGTAAGCAATAGCTTTACCGTCCCCTCATGTCCTCTACCTGAGGCCAGCATTAGAGCCGTGGTTCCATTCTTATTAGCAGCATTTACAGCACAGCCGCTCTTTATTAAAAGTAGTACAACAGTTTCATGTCCATTTTTAGAGGCTAGAATTAATGCACAGTTTCCATCCTTATCATCAGCATTTCCATTAGCTCCACCTTTAATTAACTGTTGTACAACTTTGTCGTGCCCATTTGTGGCAGCCCAGACTATTGCATTCCACCCATAACTGTTAACAGCATTAATATAGCTACCTTCTATAAGCAACAGCTTTACTATTTCCTTATGTCCTCTATCTAAGGCCAGCATTAGAGCATTGTTTCCTTTCTTATTAGAAGCATTTACATCACATCCATTGTCTATTAAAAGCTCAACAACATCGGTGTGACCATTCTGAGAAGCCAACGTTAAGGCATTCAATCCATTATTGCCTACAGCATTAAGATCATAGCCGCATTTTTTAAAAAGTTGTGCAACGTTGACATGAACAATCTCAGGAGGTAACAGTAATGCATTCCCTCTAGCTTGTATAACAACATAATTTAAACTAAGCCATCTATCAATTATCTTTTTTAAAGTTGAACAGTGCCCATGTTCAGCAGCGAACAGTAGGGCATCAATTGTAGATTCATCATTGTAATCATCATTCTGTTTACTATTACTGTTTACTTTTCCATCTTGAAACTCAATTGGTGAATTATTTAAAGCATTAATACTAACGGTATTTAACACCGTTTTATTGTCTTCTGTGTAGTGATCATTCATTTTTTATGAAGATATTTTGTTTCTATTGTATAAGGAAAATACAAGAAGGACTTCTTCGTGCTCTAGAATGTAAAACAAGATGTACATATTAGGCAATTAGAAAATGTATAGCAACATAATATAACTATAACTAATGTTTAACTGTTTTAATGAGGATTAACGACAAATCTCATTTTATTCAAAACCTCAAAAATAGAATAGCTTAAATATACCATCTTAATTAAGTTTGATAAAATGTTATTAATAACTCTTATCCTTATCATTCTGTACATTCTTTTAGTTATTTCAATGTTTATTGTAATGTCCGATTTTACGTTACTAAAGTATAAATTAACTAGGCATTCTGCCTAGCTTCGCTTAGGTTTTCAAAAACATTTGATAATTTGAATACTAATTGTTTGGTGATGGATGAGGCGTGTAGTTCTTAAATCTAAACAGTAATGCTAATTTTAGAGAAGATGTTGTTGTATCTTGTTTAATATCCGCTTTTCCGCTTTCAAAGAAAGCATTCGAAAGTACGCAATTTATAACTAAAATGGAAATAAAACTACACAGGTTCCATGAACAGTATATCTCACAATTTATATTACATTGACTTTTAAAATTAATTTTTTATTTAATTATCATACGTTGCTTAATCAACAACGTATTTTTTTTCTAAAACAAATGCTACACTTTGTCGTTTTCTGTTTTTGTTTAAAATAGTATACAATTATTTGAAAAATAATTATTTAAAAAGTTTACCTCCCTTGAAAATTAACCGAATGACGTATGTCTGTGTTTACTTTTTTTTTAAACAGTTACTATGCTTATATAAGAAAATACGATATATAAACATATTTAACGTCTACAATGGCTTTTTCCGACGGGAATAAAGTTTTTTTGTTACCCTCCAGGGTCGGTCTACGACCTCAAATAATATTAAGGGGATCAATTTATTTATATATATATATCTCATATAAGGAGAATTTCACTCGCGGTCATCTTTTAGCACTGGTCTAGGGCTTTGAGTCTGACCAACAGTTTTTCCATACGGCCTCGTCATCTATAGAAGTGTATGCAAAACATTAGCATGATGTACAGAGGTTAAGTAACGTAAAAATTGTGTTGAAATTACCCTGTTTTTCCCATAAAATACAAAGATTATATAGGGAAATACGACTGGTTAGTTTTGACCCCTTTACGAAGTTTTCCCAGATATGCCGAGTTTTTTGTGACACCCCAAGGCGTTCTCCTACCACCTCACAAAATATCAAGGGGGGTCGTCGGAGGAAATTTTTTTTCGTAATAGAGCTCATATAAAGAGAATTTCACTCGCGGTCACATTTTAGCCCTCGTCGAGGGCTTTGAGTCAAACCGACAGTTTTCCATAAAAGTCAAGCCATTTACCTAAATGTATGCCAAAAATTAGCCAGATATACTGAGTTTAAGTACCCTAAAGTCTGCGTTGAAATGACCCTCTGTTTTTCCCATAAAATACAAAGATTATATAGGGAAATACAACTGGTCAGTTTTGACCCCTTTACGAAGTTTTCCCAGATATGCCGAGTTTTTTGTGACACCCCAAGGCGTTCTCCTACCACCTCACAAAATATCAAGGGGGGTCGTCGGAGGAAATTTTTTTTCGTAATATAGCTCATATAAAGAGAATTTCACTCGCGGTCAAATTTTAGCCCTCGTCGAGGGCTTTGAGTCAAACCGACAGTTTTCCCTAAAGGTCAAGCCATTTACCTAAATGTATGCCAAAAATTAGCCAGATATACTGAGTTTAAGTACCCTAAAGTCTGCGTTGAAATGACCCTCTGTTTTTCCCATAAAATACAAAGATTATATAGGGAAATACGACTGGTCAGTTTTGACCCATTTCCCGATTTTTCCCGGACATGGCGAGTTTTTTGTGACACCCCAAGACGTTCTCCTACCACCTCACAAAATATCAAGGGGGGTCGTCGGAGGAAATTTTTTTTCGTAATATAGCCCATATAAGGCGCCGGTCAGTCGAGGTCAGTTTTGACCCCCTCTCCGTAGACTTTTCGGCCAACCGTCACCGGCCCTCGTGTTCTATCGCCCCAAGGCATCATCGTGCCAAATTTGACGCGCCTGCGGCGCCGGGAAGTGCCCTATCGGGCACCCGACAACTTTGCTTTATATATATAGATACATTATTAAAGTAAAATTATTTGAATAATAGTCGTGTGCAACTCATTAAACTTTAACCGGTTTTCTATCAAAACATTTGCTGATTTTACCTCATTAATATATTTTCCGAAGATGTAGTGGCAGTTTTAGATGAAAAAAAAAACAATACGCATTAATTTTCGTGTCACGAATTTCTAGTAGGTAATATCTTACATATTCCGCCACCAAGCCTAAGATGCAAATGTCTAAGATACCTTCAAATTAGGAAGTTATTTTCAAAACATGACTATTTGAAATCACTGTTTGCAAAATGCTATAGAAACTTTGTCTTTCCAACAATTTTTTTTCCCTACAGAATATCAACATTGATTACGTTAAAACAGAGCTATACTTATCGGTAGCAACGAATTCACTTTTATTTGTTTATAAAGTCATAAGTTATAAGCCTACACCACAAAAACTCCAAAATCACAGGAATGGTAAGGGCCTGTATATAATCTCAACTGAACCGGTTATATCCGGTATTCTCGTGTTTTATAAAATCAGCTTCGTGTTTCTAGTGTCTGCTGTGTTCGTCTAACATACCGGTTTACAGTGCTTGGTTTTCCCAAAATGAAAACCTTCCGTGACGTAGAATGTGTTAGGGTGTGCATGTAGTACCAAGTGGTGCAAATAGTCTGTGTACTGTAGCATGACCGTACGACGTCTGTGTACTGTAGCATGACCGTACGACGTCTATGTACTGTAGCATGACCGTACCACGTCTGTGTACTGTAGCATGACCGTACCACGTCTGTGTACTGTAGCATGACCGTACCACGTCTGTGTACTGTAGCATGACCGAACGACGTCTGTGTACTGTAGCATGACCGTACGACGTCTGGGTACTGTAGCATGACCGTACCACGTCTGTGTACTGTAGCATGACCGTACCACGTCTGTGTACTGTAGCATGACCGTACCACGTCTGTGTACTGTAGCATGACCGAACGACGTCTGTGTACTGTAGCATGACCGTACCACGTCTGTGTACTGTAGCATGACCGTACGACGTCTGGGTACTGTAGCATGACCGTACGACGTCTGTGTACTGTAGCATGACCGTACGACGTCTGTGTACTGTAGCATGACCGTACGACGTCTGTGTACTGTAGCATGACCGTACGACGTCTGTGTACTGTAGCATGACCGTACGACGTCTGTGTACTGTGGCATGACCGTACGACGTCTGTGTACTGTAGCATGACCGAACGACGTCTGTGTACTGTAGCATGACCGTACCACGTCTGTGTACTGTAGCATGACCGTACGACGTCTGTGTACTGTAGCATGACCGTACGACGTCTGTGTACTGTAGCATGACCGTACGACGTCTGTGTACTGTAGCATGACCGTACGACGTCTGTGTACTGTAGCATGACCGTACGACGTCTGTGTATGTTAATGTTTATGACGTGAACGATTGTAATTAGAGAAGCGACTGGGTCGAGTTGCAGCTAATGTGTTGTGGAGCTGTCTATAAGGAGGACAAATACAATGACACGGGGAGGAAGCGGCGGACCGTAAACGCAAATTGTGGTGGTAGGAGAGGCGAAAGACAAATGTGGTCTGAGAATACGTGTTATATACTGGAGAACAGGTATTTGAGTTGATTAAAGAGGCATTTTGTTAATTCAAGCACAGTGTTGTCAATTCAGCTCCTGTTGAGTTCCCAGAAACAATAAACCAGACCCTCACCGCTCCTATACTTAAGACAAATTGAATAAGTGAACTAAAATGTTCACACTAAATACATTCTACATATAACTGCAATAGAGATTCACAAAGTCAGTTGATATATACATTACGTGGCATACAGAATATCCAATTAACGTGTTATAACTGTTCTAAAAATAAAATGGAATTATTCTGTTCACTGAACCGTTATATCCTTATTGCTTGCTGGTAAAATACAAGACTGTGTTTTTTCTTGTGAGTCGAATCAAATGTAGAGTGAATTCTATACTATAAAATAAAAAGGACTGTAAATGTTTGATGCGTAAATGAGTAATGTACGCGGGGGGGGGGGGGGGGGGGAGAAAAGTGACCCCCATATTGGAGATTATCAACAAAATCATCAACAGCAGGCAGATTACTGAAACTACATTTAAGCCATTGTAGGGGTTATCTTTTTGCTACACGGAACAATTCAATTCAAGCGTAAAGAATTTTCATGGAGCAAACAAGAAATCAATATCCCGATTAAATCAATACCTATCATTCAAATAGTGCTACATCGAGCTATATTAATAATCGACGGTAGATTAATATCTTGACTATTAATTGTGAACCCTTTAAAGCTATCATATATATATATATACATATATGTATCATATATATATATATATATATATATATATATATATATATATATATATATATATATATATATATATATATATATTATCATATACATTTTTTCCTTTGGTGGGGTGACACCATGAGTTACCGCACCGGGCGGCACCCGACCTAGCGACGCCACTAGAGGTAATGTATTTTAATAAATTTCCAGTGTTGAACTATATAGAGACTAACATCAGTTTTAAATACTTAAATACGCCTTTCTTAACTGACAAACCGTCTAAGCCTTCAAACTAATCATACTTTGTTTAGTTGAATCAGACAATCATTAAGACAATACAATATTTGTAAATGATATTTTCATAATTTCTTTTCTATAAAAGCTGCTTGAACAAAGGGAACAAAAACACACACCACTTGTTTTATTTAGTAAAGGGGGGGGGGGGGGGGGGTGAGGCATAAAACATCACTTCCACTCTGTAAAACAACTAAATATATAACATGTGGGGTATTTTCTAAAT